TTTAAAATTAGAAGGTCCGAAATAAATAATAATGTCGATCATTTCCTGATCATTTCCAAAATTTCCAATTTTAGATTTTTTGACCAATGTTACACGAATAAATGAGAAATTTTGACGGCCTAATTGTTTGCTTTGTTATAAGATAATCGACTTTTAACCAAATAAACTTCGTATTTTATAAGGACATAGAATCAAAAATCTCATGCTTGGTTGGTAGGGTTCCGTAAGGCCCCCATATGCATCACGTGTATTGCGATATATGCTTCATTGGCAATCAATTTTTTTATAAATATTCCTCATTAGCTCGTTCAAAACAAAAAAAAACAACGCGTTTAATAATTAATCAAAAGATTAAATATTTTAACTATCCCATCTTGAAAAATAATTTCAATGCTTCAAAAGATTTTTATATATTAACAACCTTGATAAATAATTTAAACACGAATTTTAAAATTTTAAACAATCTTGTTAAAATAAAATTTTAACACCTAACAAATGCAACGCGAAAAAATTCCAAAAATTATTATTATCGGTGCAGGCCCAGGAGGACTTGCTCTTTATCATGCATTGATAAAGAACAAAGATAAAAAAGAATTCGATGTAAAAATCTTCGAAAGGGATTCTAGTCCAAGGGGTAGGTATAAGAGACCTGTTCTTTTTAAAAAACGTAACGTAAACTGACTCAAATTAATTCGTAAATTATATAGAACGATGGCAAGGATATCATATAGTGTTGAACTATCCCGGAATTCGATCGCTTTTGAATTGTGTGCCATCTTCGATCAATTCAAACCTTCAAAAAGCGATTCCAAATCCACTTCCCGACGTAGAATTTCATGGAGCATCACTTTTCGATAATAAAGGAAAACTTATATTACATCCATCATCTATTCAATTTAAAGACTTTAACGAACTTGTAAAAGTTGATGATGAATATTCCGTGTTGATTGCTTATCGAGATAGACTTAGAGATGTATTATTAGAAGGTGTACCGGTTACTTGGGGAAAAAAATGCATTGGATACGAAGAAACTAAAGATGGTGTTTGGGCAATGTTTGATGATGGTTCACAAGAATTTTGTGATATTTTAGTTGGCGCAGATGGAATTTATTCTCCAAGTAAGCATAAACCTTCCTCAAAATTCCCTTGATTAAATATATATTTATTTCTTACGTTTCTTTTAGTTCGAAAACAGAGACTACCCGAATTACAAATTTTCAATTTTGGATTAACAAATGTCGTAGCAAATATTGCTGTACCTAAACATCTTATGGACAGATTCATAAAGTCACAAGGAAATAGTTTATTCCAAAAGAATCTCGGATTACATGGTGATTCGTCATCGCTTATTTTTCGTCTAATTCCAATCGAGCAAGAGCCAGGTTACGAGAATAAAAACAATTCTAATGAGCTTCATTACAGATTAACCTTGAATTATTCGTATCCCACAAAATTAGACGACCGTGAATCCGTTCAAATCAAAGTTGATGATAATGATTCTGCATCTGTCATTGAACATGTCAAGCAGATGGTTCGAAATTTTGGATCAAAATGCGAATTTAATGATATTATATTAGAATTTTGGGACTTGGTTCCTAAATCAGCTCCAAATGATCCAGAAAAGTTTAAATTTAAAAATTATAATCCGACACGACGAAGACAATATCAAGATATTAATCCGTCATCTATTCAACCTTGGACAAGTAGTCGAGTAACATTATTAGGAGATGCTGTTCATGCTATGAATCCTGTACATGGATTGGGAATAAATAATGCTTTCCAAGATGCGGATCTACTCTCTCAAGCACTAATTAATTATTCATCAGAAGATCCTATTTCCTGCATTCAAGGATATGAAAAAGAAATGCGAAAAAGATCAACCGTCGACGTGTTAAAATCTAGATCTATGGCATTGCGATTGTCCACTCCTGTTGGTCGTATTAAAGCCATTATTAGAAATTATGGTTTTAAGGTTATAAATTTCTTTATCAACTTTTAAGTATTTTTAGAAAGTAAATTAAATTATTTTATTAGTCTTATGTTTATTTTCATTTTATGTTATCATTAGTCAATATTATCGAAATTTATTATAGCTTTCATGTAGGATTATTTTACGCACATAATTATTGTTAAAGAATTATTTGGCCGGTTTCCAACCTCTAAATTAGTATCATTTGAACATATTGAGCATATTTTGTTTTTTACTTGTTGTATTTGAACTCATTTATATGTCATATTTAATATATATTAAGTAATAAATAGTGTGTCAAAAAAAAGAAATAAATTCATATATTGAAGTTAGTTTTTATTTATAATATGTACATGAAATATTGAACAAACTTATTTACGACTGCTTTTTTTTTAAAAAAAAAAAATCAAATCAAAAAGAAAAAAAAGAATTTAAAATTTAAATTAGCACAAAATAAAATAAATATTTTTTTTTTTTCTTATAAAAAATGGTTATCGATAGCATCGTAATTTTTTTTTTTTTCTTATAAAAAATGGTTATCGATAGCATCGTAATTTTTTTTTTTTTAAAAAAAAATAAAACTAGACTAGACAAGGTCGTTATTAATTAATAATTATTCTTACAACTAAATTAAATTATTTGAGGAAATAATATATATATATTTTTATTTTTATGTTCAATTAGCACCCACCAAAAAAACGATCGAAACGATCGAAATCTTTTCGAAATTTCATTAAAAGTGACGCAAAAATTTTAAAAAAAATCACTTTAGTTTAAACTTTTCGTTTTATAAATGATTGTAATCAAATAAATTATTTTTAACAATGGAATAATTATTCCTTTTCAACTTAGAGATTTATTGAAAAATCAAGTTTTCTTAGGGTCATTTGCTTTTTACGAGACAAGTTGAATCTTATGACCCGTGCCTATGTGTAAATAATAATATTTTGTTGTTATAAGAGAAAGGAAATTTTTAGCAAACTTCAATTTAATAATTCATAATAGTTTGAGAGTTAATTCGAGTCGGGGCAGTTATCATTTTTATGACACGAATACTAATTTAATAAAACCCATCGGGTCAGTATCATGGTTTTACTCGACCTGGGTGACCCGGTGATTAAGTATTATTAAATTATAATATAGTACTTTGATCCACAGCTAAAGCTTGTTATTATAAAGATAAAATTGGAAAAAAAAAAAAGCTTTATTCTTTATACGTTTTGCTAAAGAAACAGTTCTTACTTCTTTGTGGAAATTATGTTCTGTATTTATTGATACATTATTTTATTTAATTTTAAATTGAATAGTTACATGAAACCAAATATGGTGAATAACAAGTCAAGTAAAAAAAAAAGTGCCGATTATTAAACATTAATAAATACATTTTTTTTAATAAAGCAACAAGTGTTCCAGGTTTTTCTGGCGGAACCAATCTAATGTCAATCAAAAGTTGTGGTCTTAAAGCTAATACAATTCGCGCCTGTATAAATTTTGATATCCTTGTGGAATGCACAACAAAAAATATAATGAATAAAATAAAATATATTTTATAAACTTTTAAATTTTTTTCAAAATTACTATGACACTTGTTTATTATCTATATATAAATAAAATGATTACTTTTAATAGTTACCCTTGAAAATTCGGGTTAAACAATAATCGGGTCGAACCTTTACAGCTGTTTTAATATTATATGCGAGATCTTCCCCAGTAACACCAACAAATTTTCACCCCACGTGACCAACATTTGGCCGATCATTTCTAAAAATGGTAATCCGAATTTTTTAACGAATAAATAAAACTTACCTTAGACATTATCTATTCTCGAAACTGAGCGTTTATACCTAATTTTTTACGCTCTGCAAGTTTCGTAGAATTCAAAAAGGGGTTTAGAATGCCGATTTTTGTTAAATTAATCATTTAGAAACGGATAAAAGTCAAAATCTGTAAATGTAAACCTACTTTTATTGCCTAAGTAAACTTGTAGAGCGGATAAAGATACGTATAATATATAAGTTTAAAAGATATATGATATTTGCACCAGGTTTTATCTTTATTTTTAGGAAAGATCGGCAATTATTTAAAATCCTATGATCAAGAAAAATCACATTAATTATATAAGTCACATGTTATTGTGACGTAAAATACTGTTTTTACATCATAAATAATTTTTATTTCTTAAAAAATGAATCAAAGAAGACCGTAAATTTATTACTGCTCGCGAATTTTAAATAATCCACTGTCTACAACTAAAACATCCAAATACTTACATTGAAAAGGAAATTTTATTCCTGTGCAACAAATTCAAGATTACAATAAGAAACCGTTACAAATTATAAATCTTGAATCACAAGATTTACCAATTAATATACCCTTCAATAATAGTAGTAAAGAAAGGCTCCGATGTTTAATAATTGTCACTTTCAAAATGTCATTTTTTTGTTTATAATCAATCATAAATGCTTGTAATAATGTAATATTTCTATATCAAGCTTATTAAATAAAATATGATATTTTCACGGAAAATTCAACTCCGCAATTAGTAAGCGGGTAATATGTTTATTTAAGATCGTAATTAAAACTTTTTTTTCGAACGGAAGCTGCGGAACTGTATTAATCAGCTAAGAACATGCGTAATCCTATTTTTTGGTACTGTAACAATTACTTGAAAGAAAACAATGCTATATAGAATTATCCTAATTCGCTAAATTTATTGAATCTATTGAGATACAATTAGAGCTAGAATATAAAATTAATTCGTAATTGATAATGATGATCGGTCAGATTATATAATTGAAGCATATCATTACTAAAAATAAATTATTACCAAAAATTGAGATTATAAAAATGGAATCATTCATCCGAAAATAGTTAGCGTTAGACTTTTGAAAATCGAAATTCTCGGTTTGTATGGGCAATAATAATTATGCACAATCCCAGACCTTTATATTCAGACTTTTTTTTTATAAAAGGAATCTATAAATTTTCACTTTTTTTTTCTTCGTGTGAAGTTTTATAAAAAAAAAAAAAAATGCCGCTTCCGACTCGTGAATTAGGTAAAACTGGAATCAAAATTCCAACAATTGGCTTTGGATGTATGGTATGTAATAAATGACACCGCAAAATTTTTTTCGATATTGAATAAATGCAACTCCACTTTTTTTAAAAAAAAGGGAATGAGTGATTTTTATGGACAATCTGACGAGAAAGAAAACATTAGCGTATTGAACAAATCGATCGAATTAGGAAGTTACTTTTGGGATACTTCGGTAAAGTAAATTAGATTATATTCGATCATTATTTTCGCACTACTGAAACAAAACTAATAATAAATTCCTTTATGGTTTGAATTGCGACCTTTAGGATATGTATGGAATTGGAGCTAATGAGATCCTTTTGTCAAAAGTTCTTAAAGAACGTCGTAATGAAGTATTTCTTTGTACAAAATTCGGAGTCGTTCGAGGTCCAAATGGAGAATTTTTAGATATTAAAGGTGATCGTGATTATGTTCGTCAAGCTTGTGAAAAATCGTTGAAAAGGCTTGGGGTTGATTATGTTGACCTCTATTATCAACATCGTGTGGATCCAAAAACGTAAGCATAAATCAAATTGTCCATTTTGGTCACGAGATAATGAGGAAAGAATTAATAAAAACTATACATTTTTTATAAAAGTCCTATTGAGGAAACCGTTGCCGCTTTGGCGGAACTTGTGAAAGAAGGCAAAGTGAAACATATCGGACTCTCTGAATGTTCCGAGAACACACTTCGACGCGCTTGTAAAGTTCATCCAATTGCAGCTTTACAGGTATGATATTGTAAATTTTTGAATCGTTGAAATATTATTTTAAATATCAAACCATACCCTTTTTATAAGAACGAGTATAGTCCGTGGACGCTCGATATTGAAAAAATGGAATTATGGAAGCATGTCACGAATTAGGTGTTACCATAGTCGCTTATAGCCCACTTGGTCAAGGATTCTTAACCGGAAAATATAAATCAATTGATGATTTTGATCAAAATGATGTTAGAAGGAAGTGTCCACGTTTCATGGGTGATAATTTTAACAAGAATTTAAAAATTGTTAAGAAAATTCAAGAATTCGCAAGCAAGAAGGGTGTTACTGCAAGCCAACTTTGTCTGGCTTGGGTCTTGGCTCAAGTATTTACACATTTTATCATTTTTCAAATATATTCTGAATGTAAATTTTAGTTGTCTTTAACAATATTATTTTCTTTAGGGAGAAAATATTGTTGTTATTCCTGGTACACGGAAAATCAAATATTTAAAAGAAAATGTTGGCGCAGCTAATGTTCAACTTTCGTCTGAGGAATTATCTGAAGTTCGTCAAATTATTGATTCTATTGAGATCATTGGGCACAGATATTAAGCTGAACATGTAGCTGTAAGTATTTATTATATATATTTATAGTATTTATAATTTTTTATATAATGAAATTAACCTTGAATTTTGTTTTGTTTCTCAGTGTTTAGAAAATGAATAAATTCATAAATTTTTAAAGGTTAATAAAAAAATATAATTATTTTAAACCCTGACTGTCAAAAGCTATATAATTAAAATTTTTTCGGTGGACGAATTTTCGGATTTGTATATCAAAATTTGAACGTGGAAATCAAAAACCCAACCACTTGCATATTTACAGAGATTGAGATATTTGCACATGAAAAATTTTACAAGAGAAGTAAGTTTGTTTTTTCGAAAAGTTATTATATAAGCTCAAACTTCTGAATATTCAATTAAAATTTTGAAATGTACTATAAAAAAAATTAAAGAATCAATTCTAGTTTATAACACACTAGACGTTGGGTATTAATTAATCAAGATTATAATAAAATTAATAGTACAGATTTTTAAATCTATTATGATGAAAATAAAATTTTATTATTGAATAAGAATATTATCTATTACACCAAGAAAATTTGTTATCGAGTGCAGACCTTCACGAAACTACTTTAGTTTCGAAGATTTCACCACAGGTATAGTTTAGATTTCATAAAATTTTTGGTATAAATTGACTTGTTATTTCTTAGCATATTGAAACTCAAAATCTTCATTTCTGAAAAAAACAAAATTAAAAACGATACACAAAGCGAAAAGTGATAAAAACGAACGAAGAATGAATAAGGAACCATTTTTAATATCAATAGAGCAAATTGATAAGGAGATTTTTTCGTATTTGGATTAGTTAAGAATATTTGCAAAATACAATGAAAATCGAAGATGCAAAAAACTGAAGATACAAATGAAGAAAGAAACACGATAAAAAATGACAAAAAAACACAAAAAAAGAAAAATACAAAAAAAAATTACATAACTTAAAAAAAACATTTATTATATTATAAAAAAAAAATTAAAACGATAATAAAAGAAGAATCTATAAAAAAATCGATAGCTAAAAAATTAAGTTTAATTAAAATTTAAAATTACAAAAGAAAATTCATCGCGTCCATATAGTTGACACGATAAAAATGCAAACCATATAGTCATATGATAGTCCCGTGTTAGCGGCATTGAAATTTTCATTTGAGAAATTTCTTACAAAATTAATTTAGCAGTCATAAGTATCTGAATTATTATATAATTACCCTTCAAATTTTTCAGAAATATAATGTAACATAAGAACCAGTTTGTAACAGAAAAATAGCAGTTACATTAGCACATGAAAGATGCTCTAAAAAAATAAATAAAAAGATAAATTAAGTTAAAAAAAATTAAAAAACTAATTAATAAGAAAAATTCTAAGTTTACCTGGAGAGTTTTGCTTTTCAAATACTTTATTATTGTTTTCTTCTGATTTTCATTTATTTTCTCATGATTTGATAGTTATGGAATCATTTTTAGTCAAATATGAAACCAAACTACTTGCTTTATTAATGTCAACTTCGCTATTATTTTCATTAATATTTTCCAATAAAACTTTTTTACGTTCAAGCTTTTTACTTGAATAAGCATCATAATGTTAACACAAATTTAAAAAGTATTTAATATTTAATAATCCATCATCTAAAATATAATCAAAATCTTTTGAATCTACATACAAATATACAGACAATTAAAAAAACAAATTAGGAAAAAATATTAAATAATAATAATAAATTACTTACAATTCGAATACCATAAAATATCAGGTAATTTTTGAATATATTTCACAATTACTTGACAGGTTTTATAATTTTTTTCTAATAAAAGTGTAGATGCTATAATATCCAAATCTGATAAATCAGATTTCTCTTAACTTGATAACTTAGATACTGTATAGTTTATATTTTGAGAAATAGTTGAATCATTATTATCATTAGACTCTTCATCAGTATACCTAAATAAATTTGGATTATCATCCTAAAAATCTTCAAGTTGTAAAGTAGGAAGACTTTTGTGAATGGTAAAGTAATAGGCATCATGTGGTATAGCAATCATTTCCAAATATTTTGCTAAATGAATAGCTTTTTCATAACTTGCTTTGATTGCATTATTAATCTCAATATCAGATGGCCAGTAGCGTAAATATTCAAGATTATCACCTATAAGATCAATTTCTTTATATCCATTAAATCGTAACCTAAATAAATTGATCAAAAATGTAATAAATCATGTGATGTAAAATAAATTAAATCATATGATGGACTTAAAAATACTTACCTTCACACACTATTTTTTCCTTTCTAAATATCAAATTATTAGATTTAATAGATCTAAAATATTGATTAATTTTTGGAACCATTTGAACGATTTTCAAATAATTAAAATCAGAGCAAAATTGGCGGAAAATTCCAAAAATATGTTCACATAACTCAGTGTCATATTTCCATGGTAATAAAGGAATATCTTTATAATAATCACAGTGAATTCTAATTAAAAGAACTAAGGATTTAATTAGACTAATTAAATATTAAAAGTTTGCATTGCTAAAAGTTTTTTGAAATAGATATATAAGAAGGATAAAGTGTATTAAGAGTTTTAATATGATATTTTCATAAATGTAAAAAAAAATATGCAGTCATAACCATTTCAATCCTTTCATAATGTGTAATATTTTGATTGAAATAGCAATCAATAAGTTTTCTTAAGTTAAATTTAATTAATTAAATATTTAATAAATAAAAATAAAAAATAAAAACAATAGTACTTACCTATATTGAAAGATAAATAAACAATCCATGCTATTCACAAGGTAAATTTTTTTCTTTATCAAGTAGTTGTTTCAGGTTTTTTGAGCAAAACACTTTATATACTACATTGTTATCTTGCCAATCTAATCTTATAACATCCTGTTTATACATAATACTATCTTCTTTATGGAATAATTCTAATAGTTAATCAAATTAGACAGTAGAATTTCTAAAAGTAAGTAAACAGACACCAGACATAGCAGTATTTCTTGCTGTTTTTTTTCATATTTCAGATCCTGAATTCGAATTACAGGTCTAACTTTAAAGAATACAAAACAGTTAAAATTAATACCAAATTGAAAGTTTCGATATTAAACATGCCTGTTAGCTTTAGTTGCTTGTAACAGATTTTGTGCTTAAAATTCTGTAGCTGCTCCATCTAATCTAATGGAAATAATATGTATTTCAAGTCTTATCGAAATATCAATAAGTTTTTGATGTAATGCAAAAATTTTTTCAGTATTATCATTCTCAACAATTAGAATTAATGCAATAATTATTGGCGAAAATTTTGGAAAAGGCATCTGATATATAATAATAACAATCAATTAATTAGTAATTTCTTTATCAGTCTAATCATAAAAAAGAATTTTTAATATATATACATATAATATTATAATATGTGTATATAAGTTACACTGATTAAAATATGAGTTCGTTGCCAGCAAAATCAAGGTCTAAGACCCATCCAATGAAATTTGAGATTTTAATTTCATTTCAATATGTTACACATGAACTTTATTTGGTTAAAAAATCATATCATATAATCATAGTACGAAAATGAACACTTCAACTTTAAGGTTTTATTATTGAAAATTCTATTAATAGGTTTAAAAAATAGATATTTTATTGAGTTGTTGACTCAATGATTAAGTTTATTTTATACTTTATAGGTTTGCATATATTTTTTCTTTTTTTTTTCTTAACTATTCCGCTATTATTTTTCTTACATCTATAGTTCATTATTTAATTGTCTCTATTTTATTATTTCGCCACTTTGTTGTTTAACAACCAATTTTTTTTTAGATCTTCAGCTGGATCAAAGTGTAAGTTCATTTCGTTTCATTTTCTTCTTTGCTTCATTTTTATTCTTTCACTTGGTTGTTGATTAACAACCATTTTCTCTTTTTTTTTAGATTTTTGAACTCTTCGGCTAGATCTCAGGCGGTAAGTTCATTCATTTCGTTTTCTTCTTTGCTCCATTTTTATTTTTTTACTTGATTGTTGATTAACAATTATTTTCTTTTTTTTTAGATCTTTGGGCTCTTCGGCTGGATCCAAAGCATAAGTTCATTTCGTTCATTTTCTTCTTTGCTTCGTTTTTATTCTTTTGCTTAATTGTTGATTAATAACCATTTTCTCTTTTTTTTTTAGATCTTTAGGCTCTTCGGCTGGATTTAAAGCAGTAAGTTTTTTCGCTTAGTTATTGATTAATAACCATTTTCTTTTTTTTTTTAGATTTTTGGACTCTTCGGCTAGATCTAAGGTGTAAGTTTGTTTCGTTTTATTTTCTTTTTTGCTTTATTTTTATTCTTTCGCTTGGTTGTTGATTAACAACTATTTTCTCTTTTTTTAGATCTTTGAGCTCTTCAGCTAGATCCAAAGTGTAAGTTCGTTTCGTTTTATTTTCTTCTTTGCTTTATTTTTATTCTTTCGCTTAGTTGTTGATTAACAACTATTTTCTCTTTTTTTTTAGATCTTTGGGCTCTTCGGCTAGATTCAAGGCAGTAAGTTCGTTCATTTCATTTTTCTTCTTTGCTTTGTTTTATTCTTTTACTTGGTTGTTAATTAACAATCATTTTTCTTTTTTTTTTATTTCTTCAGTAGACTCAAAATTTGATTTGAATTCGAACATATAACTCAACTTAACTGCTTTTTTAATACTAGTAGATTTTCATAATTAGTATTAAAAAATTTATCTTTAATAAAATTTAGTAATTTAAAGTGAAAATGCACAAAATGATAAATTTTTTAATTTACCAAAAAATGTTAATTCAAACAATCAAATGTTGATTGGCGTAAGTGAGAATGCATAAATTTTTTTTAATTTACCAAATAAATATTAATTCAAATAATTAAATGTTGATTTGGTAAGTGAGAAGAAATTTTATGCGTTACCATTTCAAACTTTACAAAGATCTTAAACACTTGACGTATAAACACTTTTTTTTTATACATTATATTAAATTAGGACAAAGA